CTGTTGTGTTCACCCTCAAGATTTGGCGTCATTACCTATATGGGGTTTGTTGTACCATCTACATGGACCATAAGAATTTGAGGTACCTCATGGATCAGCTGAATCTAAACATGAGGCAGCGTCGGTGGATGGACGTGGTAAAGGATTACGATTACGAGATCCTTTATCACCCGGGGAAGGCCAATGTGGTGGCCGACGCGCTTAGCGGCAAGGCAGCACCAATCAGGGATATCTGCCTGAGGATGAAAATGGTGATTCCGATGTTGGAGCAGATTCGGGAGGCACAACAGGAGGCCATGAAGGAGGAACATCGGAAGAGCGAGCGGATCGTGGGGCAAGTTTCCTCCTTCGACTATGACAACCGAGGATTACTGACACCACATTGTAGGGTGTGGGTGCCATACCACGGGGGTGTGCACCAGTTTATGATGGAGGAGGCACACAAATCTCGGTTCTCCATTCATCCCGGGGCGACGAAGATGTATAAGGATCTTCGTCTGGACTATTGGTGGCCCTGCATAAAGCGAGATGTGGCATGGTACGTAGAGCGGTGCTTGACCTGCAGGAAGGTCAAGGCCGAGCATCAGAGACCTCATGACAAGATCCAGTTGTTGGATATTCCGCTGTGCAAATGGGAAGACATCATGACGGACTTTATCACAAAGCTTCCCAAGACCGCGCGGGGAGTGGATTCGATCTGGGTCATCGTCGATCGATTGACCAAGAACACCCATTTATCTCGATTGACCAAGTTGGCCAACATTTATATTAGGGAGGTGGTGGCGCGGCACGGGGTTCCAGTATCGGTGATTTCAGACAGAGATGTTCGATTTACTTCCAGGTTCTGGTAGAAGTTCCATGACGAGCTGGGAACTCGTTTGCATTTTAGCACCGCTTTTCACCCACAAACAGATGGACAGAGTGAGCGGACCATCTGAAATTTGGATGATATGTTGCGGGCGTGTGTCTTAGACTTTGGAGGTAGTTGGGATACTTACCATCCTTTGGCTGAGTTCTCGTACAACAATAGCTATCACGCGAGTATTGACCGTCCTCCCTTCGAGATGTTGTACGGGAGGAAGTGCAGGACCCCGATATGTTGGGGTGAGGTTAGTCAGAGGGTTATGGGGAGTACCAAAGTGGTACTCAAGACTACGGAGAGGATCCAAAAAGTCTGGAGCAGGCTTCAGACTGCTCAGAGTCAGCAAAAAAGTTATACCGACAAGCATCGATCAGATTTGGAATTCCAGGCCGGTGATATGGTTCTCCTGAAGGTGTCACCTTGGAAGGGTGTCATCCAATTCAGGAAGCGGGGCAAGCTGGGCCCCAGGTATATCGGACCTTTCAGGGTTATAGCCCGGGTGGGCAAGGTTGCGTATAGGCTGGATCTGCCAGCCGAACATAGTCAGATTCATAGCACTTTTCACGTCTCCCAGTTACGGAAATGTTTGGTGGACGAATCAAAGGTGGTACCCTTGGAGGATAATCAGTTTGACAATAGCCTGAACTACATCGAGAGACCGGTGGCGATTCTTGATAGGAAATCAAAGGATCTGCGGAACAAGAGGATGGATCTGGTAAAGGTCCAGTGGCAGCATCGAAAGGGCTCGGAATGGACCTGTGAGTCGGAGGACGAGATGAGGGAGCGTTACCCAAAGCTTTTTAGGATCGAGCGGTAGACTTCGAGGACGAAGTCTAAAATAAGTGGGAGAGATTTGTAACACTTGGTATGTTTTCTTCAATATATGTATTTTTCTCTGGGACTCAACGAGTTGGAGGATCAACTCGTCGAGTAGGGACGTGACTGCGGACATTTTAAGTGACCAACTCGACGAGTCGGGAGACTGACTCGGCGAGTAGGTGCTGGATAAGTGAAACCCTAAATTTGAGGGTTTGCACCTTATATAAACAACTTAACTCAACCTCCCTTGTCCCTAACACTCTCTTGAAAGCTTCATATCGAAACCTAGTTGTTTGTGTGTGAGTTAAGGCCATTTTTGGTGTTCTTGTGTGGATTGTAAAACTTGAAAGGAAGAAAGGAGCTTGGAAATCGAGTTGGGGCTTGTAGATCCGGAGATCTTACTTCATTTTCAGCAGCTTCAAGGTAAAATGCCCCTAACTTGACTCATCTATGTGGTTATTCATCTATAACTTGGAATCTTTATGGATTTCTAAGTCATATTTTGGATTTGGAAGTGTTGAGTGAGTTTTGACTTCAGATTTGGGCCTTAAGAGGGGTCTCATGGCATAAAGGTGCCAACTTTAGGGCCATGAGAGCCCCATGCACATTGTAGGACATTTTATATGGATTTTTGAGCTAAAAACCCCATGCATGTGCATCAAGTTTGGAACTTTACGTATAAAATGGACATTAGGAGTCAAAATCTATGGTTTTGGTGTGTTAGACCTCATTTAAATCGACTGTATGGAATTGGTCAAGGTCGAACTCGGCGAGTTGTTCTTGGCACTCGACAAGTCGGTGACCATTGTGCACCAAACCCTTTCTGTGAATGGGTAAGTGTTAGGAAGGAAGTCCCTTGTGGATTTAGACGCGAAAAGGGACCTAGAAGCCATGAGACTCGGCGAGTGGTATGAGCAGACTCGACGAGTCCCTAGCAATCTCCCAATCTTTGAAGATGGACTCGACGGGTTGTTCATACAACTCGGCGAGTCATAGATTGGACAAGTTCTTAAGTTGGAGATGAACTCGACGAGTTCAAGAAGGAACTCGGCGAGTCGAATGAAGATGGTCCCGATGTTATGACTGAAGGAGAACCCATCGAGTTTTTGCTAGACTCGACAAGTGGAGCCGGGGTTTTGTGTGGGATTGGAGAAGCATGGACTCGACGAGTTGGTAGGCCAACTCGGCGAGTCAGGTCAACTGAATGTTGACTTTGACTAAATTTGGACTGACCCCGTTTAGGGTTGTATGTGATGTGTGTTGACTTGAAGGTTGTCGTGTAGGGATCGAAGAGTCGTAGGGAGTCGACTTATGCGCCGAGGCTAGTTCAGACACTGCACGACATTGAGGCAAATTACCTTCCTGTAGGGGTGGGTCTAAGGCCACAATGTCGGCCCACCAAAAAAGGGTATTTAGAAGATAATGGTCTTTGTGATAATTATCTTGGTCTGGTTATGTGTTGGTTATGAGGTTTATCTGGGTTTATGTTATGTGTATGGTATGGATTAGTTTCCCTGACAGCGGTCCTTAGGATCCAAGGTAGGTCAGTACCCGGATATGCCTGATTGTATGCTTATATCTGTTGATTGTATGCTAGTGGTAGGGGTGAAATAGTCCCCAGTTACCGGTTGAAAGATACCGATGTTGATTACCAGTTGAAAGATACCGATGATGGCTACCGGTTGAAAGATACCGATGAAGGTTACCGGTTGAAAGATACCGACGATATTGTATGGTATGTGGTATGATGGGGGAACTCACTAAGCTTCGTGATTACAGTTTTGGTTTTGGTTTCATGTACCTCTTCATCGAAGGGGAAGGAGCCGGCGGTGTAGCAGCGCATCACACACACACAACAACATGTTTCTGCAATAAGTTTTTAGGATTGTACTCTGATTTTCAATACTTATGATGTTATGGTTTGAAATATAATATTATGATTTTGTAATGGAATGTTTTATTGACAAGGTTTTGGTAAAATGTTTATTAAATGCGTTAATTCAAAAATGAAACTTTTGGCCTTGAAATTTGGGTCGTTACACAACATGTAAGTTATCTAACTAGTTTTCTTATTCAATTACCTATGCGTTGTATGCTAGTTAGGAAGTATGCTTTGGAAAATCAAATTTGCATGTATAATTAGAGAGAACTTAGATCCAAAGCATATAGGGTTGCATGTGCACCATATGGTTGTTATAGTGCTCAAAACCGATCAGATTCGTGACGTACAGGTTGAGGCTATGAAGGAAGACCACCGAAAGAGTGAGCGTATTGTGGGTCAAGTCGCTTCCTTCGATTCTGATAGCCACAGATTGTTGGAGAGTCCGGGTTCCGTATTGGGGAGGTGTACGCTAAGTTTTGATGGAGGAGGTTCACAAGTCGAGATTCTCCATTCATACCGGTGCAACAAATATGTATAGGAATCTTCGTACTAATTATTGGTGGCCCTACACTACTAGAAAAATAGTCTTTTACGATGCTCATTACGCGTCGTAAAAGGCTCAGACGACGCGCAAATGCGCGTCAAGGAAAGCCCTGTCATAAAGAGAGACGATGCGCATTTACGATGCCCATTTACGACACGCAATTACAACACGCGTTTACGACACCCAATGTGTATCAAGGAAGGCCCTGTCATAAAGGAAGACGACACGCATTCGTGTGTTGTAACCTTACGACGCGCGTGTCAATGACGTGCAGTACGTATCAAAAAAAACCCTGTCAAGAAAGGCCATGTCATTAATGAAGATGACACACATTTTTGTGTATCATAATTTGAATTGTTTAAAAAAATATTATTTATAGATTTACTTATTTTCAAATTAAATTTGTATTTAAGGTTTCATAGTATAAAATAAATATCATATACAAAAAATAGAATCCATTGCATAAATTTAATGTCATACAAATGATCGTTCCATGGAAAGATAAAACAAATCAATAGAAATTGTAACAAAAATTTACAAATGAATTAGATACAAAAAATACGGTCCATTGCCCCTTTGCTTATTCAAGATCAACCTGCAAGTAGGTGGGCTGGGCTTAGACTAAGCAAGGAGATTGGAACAAATTAGGAAGGGATAGGTGACACAACTTCCAGTGCTCCATATCTGCATTGCATTGCATAATTACAAACATTATGAATTAATTATTTATGATTTATTTTAATAGCAGGTTGAGTTTGAGTGGCTAAATTCATAAAATGGTGCTAGAAATACAATACTTACAACCGATAGCAGGCCCTGTTTGTACTTGTCATGGAATGAAAGGCTTTGGGTCCTCTCCAGGGAATCTACTTCTTTCATGAATGGTCATAATTTTATCCTACAAACACAGTACCCTCTTTCCCATGGCATTCAAGGTTACTCCCTGTTGGAGCAACAAAATGCAGACCCTGCAATCTAGAAAAATATAATTCAAACATCAACAAATTGGGGTAGCTCTTGGATTGTTAGATAACATGCCACATAAAATCAAAACCAGAGTATGATAAGTACGAAACAAAGTTTGGTTAGGATAAGTGAAAATTAACGAATATTACTTTTCTATGACCTTAACCATTTACTTATGTGTCACATGTCCAAGATAAAAAGTGACCTCAGTGGAACCAATTGCTGCCATTTCAGCAACAGCTTGAGGAAATTTAATTTTGAATTATATCCTGTAATATTAGAAATTATGATGCAAAATCACTTCACCTTTATAGCAGATATCATTTTGGAACCCCAAGAATCCATGGTCTCTTTCCATTCGAGGAAACCTCCAGGTATAACCGACTCCGAGTTCAGTTCCTACATCAACAAAAGTCAAATCCATGCAAAGTTTGATGAATATTCTGTAGTATACAATACAATCCCTTTTTTGCCTAAAGTTATTTGGACACATCCATCTCATCTTGCAAAAGGATTTCATATACATCAGTCCTCACATTCATCTCTTTCTCACGCATAACTTCTAACAAATCCGATAACCAAAAATTTTGAATTTTGAAATTTGAAATTTGAAATTGTAAAAGATGAAGATGTTATATTACCATGGACATGAGTGAATGGCATGAAAGTAAATTCTTCTAGCTGCTGACATGTCATGTGTGACATGGATTTCATACAACAAATATAATCGCCATAAAAGTACACAGCTTTTCAACATGTTATCACCCAATGCTCTTTCAAAGATTCTATGTACTCTATGATGAGAGCTTCCTTTTCTAATCTCATATGATAATGCAAACAGATAAACACTCACTGATGGTTTCCTGTAAACACCACAACAACATGATCCAGTTTCAAAGATTCATACTAATGACACAATCACCCCTATGAGGACAGATTAACATTTTGATCTTACTTGTGTAAGTAATCATCAATGATCCATCGAAGCTTACTAGGGGAAGTATGAAGATGTCCAATTTGAATAATTGTATTATAGAGTTTGGGATTGAAGGGGTATATCTGTAATTCTTGCACCAAAATATTCCAAATATTTGCAAGCTCTACTTCTGAATGATGCTTCCATAGCATTTGTATATAATAGTTGAATAGTAATTCAAGTTGATGAATTTTTCTTCTCCTTTCTGTATTTATAAAGATTATGTTATCCACAATAACTAAACAGATTCTACAATCTAACAAAATTAAATATGATAAAAAATGACTGATTTAAAATGATCATGAAATCACCTGGAAGCACCATGGAAAGAGATTGATTTAAAATTTCTATTCCATATTCCAATCCAGAAGTCAACTCTTCAAATAATGAAGCACAACAAATAGAAGCAACAGAATTTTCATTAATACTCCCATGTATCCATGTTTCCTGAATTACCCTTATTTGTTCTTTAAATCCCTGACGTGCCCTTAACAGCTGTAAACTTGATGGTTGACTTTTGAATTGACTAAATTTTACCCGACATCCCAAGCAACAAAGAATGTGTAATGTTCATGATAATGATGATTCTGAGCTTCTAGAAGAATTGTTGTTTGAAAGTTCAAGTTCAAGTTCAGCATACCAAAAGAATAAAAGTGAGGCGTTTGATTTGGGATCCTGTGAGTCGTATAAAATAAAATTAAATGATAATATATATATATATATATATATATATATATATATATATATATATATATATCAAGTTTTTGTAATTTGTAAAGTAAAGATAATCATGATTTTTATTTCTTACCCATGGAAGCCCTTCAATGGATAATAATGCCATGTCAAATACTTTTCTTGCATATTCTATATTCCCAAATGCAGCTTCTCTTCTTGCATAAACACCACGTAAATGTACATCCTATATGTATTTAGTTATTTACTATTAAGTTATATAAAACATATTTTTATATCGAATAAATAATTAAATATAAACAAAATAAACATACCTGATGATTGCTTTTCAAGAGGCTTTTTGCCAATGTCTTACATGGAGTAATAGCAACACTAGAGGAGTTCATTTTTGTGTTTGAAATCTCTTCAGCAACAAGTGCAGCTTCTTTTAAAATATGGTCATGTGGAAATACATTTAAACATTGTAAACTAACATTTCTAACAAATTTCATCATTTCACTTCTCATGTTTATGTTATCAGAGTTGTTTAAAACATGTTCTAAACTGTAACCACTTTGAGTTTGATTCTCATCTATTTTTGTTAATATCTCCTCAACTTTTCTCAAGTCATTTAATATAGAATCTGGTAATGAGTCCATAACTAGGGTTTTTTCAGCCGAACTTGAACTATTAGTTGAACACCTACAGAAAAATGAAAGAAAAGAGAACTTTTTTAGAATATATTGTGATCAGATTATATTAGTTGAATTCCTACAGATTATATATTAATGAATACGAAAGAAAACATGATGACTGATGAATATGAGTTCAGTTCCTACATCTTCCTCTATCTATTTTTTTCTGGGATTGTGATAGCTTTCTTCTATCTATGCCTTTTCAAGAAAACATGATGACTGATCAATATGAGAGAATGCATGATAGCTTAGGTAATTACCTTTGTTTAGCATCTGATTGAAGATGAAGGAAGTCCTTTAATGTCTAATATTTGGAGAATGGAGGAAGATAAAAATATACACCAGGAGACGGATGATTGAGAAATTCGAATGGATGTTACTGATTACCTGTTGCATATGGTATTTATTCTTCTTTCTTCACCTCTACATTTTTGTTTTGTTTTTCTTTCTACTATTTGTGGATGGCTGGTTTTATACAACTTTTGGTCCCAAAAAGTTTTTTCTAACAACTTTGGTCCTTATTTCAAAATATTATAACATTTTTGGTCCTGTGTTCCAAATAAAATGAATATTTTTTGGTCCCTGGATATAGCTGTTAGAAAAAAAAATGGATAGAGAGAGGGAGAGAGAGAGAGAGAGAAAGAGAGAGGAATACGAGTCTCTCCAACAGCTTTGTTAGCTATCCCACTCTGCATTACCAAGGTTAAGAAGTAAAAGATAATTGAATATTTAGTTTTCTTAAATAGAATTTTTGAATTAGGAAAACTTAAGGTAAAATTCTGATCTTACACATAGGACTTTTAATGCTTCTTCACCATCTAGTATTGGGATCTGTACAAGCTTAATTATCTTTCAAGCTGATAGGGAAATGAAACAAATTAGAAGATTCCATATGAAAGATATTGAAACATACTTCTGTTACTCCAGACAACAATATCCCATGTGATTTATGCTCCTTATTCTTTATGTTGTCCTTGGATAAATCAAAAGGTCCCTACAAGAAACACTCCCAGTTGCAATTATAAAACAGAGTTGAGGGATCTCTTTCAAAGCTATTTGAACAATAGAGATAGCTAATAAAAAAGCATATAACTAGGAAAGAGGCTTCAATGTAGTTCTTATTTAGCTTCTTTAACAGTGATACAATCACATAACAGATTACGGGAGCTAATTGAATCGGTAATAGCAATAACCAGATAACACATTAACACTCACTACATAGTTATCACAAAGTTCAACTTCAAACTATTGATAAAAATAAGATTTAAGATTTAAGTTAAAATTTTATTTGTCAGGTCCAGGGCTTATCTCATCTAAGCAGGTCGGTAGGATCTGGTCTGGCTCTGCAGCCCTTAGCATTTCCAAGTCTTTCAGAAACCAAGACGCCTCATCGATCTCAACCGTCTTTTCAATTGGAGAAAAGTACAATAATATTTACATATTATAATAAAATATATGTTGCAAAATAGAAATACAGAATACCTTCAATAATGCTTGTCTGGCTGCTTCCCTTTCCAGGTCTCTTTTCCGTTTTGCTTCTGCAGTAGCTTCCGCCTCCACTCGCCTCCGAGCATCTTCAGCTGCCTTGGCTTCTCCAGGTCTCTTTTTCTAAGATTATATATATATATATATATATATATATATATATATATATATATATATATATATATATATATATAAAACCAGCCGTAAAGATTCCACCCAAGACAAAAAAAAACATATCTTGCAATTTCCAGATAATTCATATAATATACTACAAAGGATAACTTTAGATATACCTTTGCCCTAGTAAACTAAGTAGAAGCTTTAACATGTTTTACCTCCTTTTCAGAAGCACTGCTAGAATCAGAATCTGCAGTCAACAAACACTCAAGTCTCATCAAACAACCCAAACTACAATTCACATCCAAAAAGTACTTTGATAAAAGGGTTTAAGTTTAACATAACAAAAAATACCCTTAGATTGGTGCTCAAAGAAGCATAGGCGCTCAAGAACCCAACATTTAACTGAAAAATGAAAATAAGTCTGCTTTAATATCAATGTCCATTAAACAGTGTCCACAATAAATCACCATTAAACAGGAGAGCAAGAAAAATTCCCAAAAATCCATAAGCATAAATTATTATCTAATAAGTTGCAATCTTTAGACTTTAGGTGATATATCTAATCTAACACATGGAAATGGAATTTGTTGCAGTTTTGACGAGACCAGACAGAAAGTGTAGTTATTCAGCAAAAGGACTCTCCCTTTCAAACTAAGACCATTGACCATTGACCATTGCATATCAATCAATCACCATTCACCAACCGACAAGTAAGAGCTTGAGCAAAGCCATTCTAATGTAGAGTCCATTTTTAGCTTGTCTAAAATAAGCATCCCTTGGGTCACCATCTACATCCACTGTTATCTACAATTCACAAACAAAACTCTACTTAATTATATTATATTATACTATATATAAAACTAAAAACAAAAACAAGACAAGAATTTGTACCTCATCAAGCCTAGGGAGAGGATGCATGACAATGGCATGTTTCTACATGACACCCAATACATCTCTATCAATAATGTATTTCCCACGGCTTCCTCATAAAGATCGCTTCTCTCTCCAAAATGTTCCTTCTGGATGTGAGTTTGATACACCACATCACATTTCGATGCCACTTCCTTCAAATCAGCACTTTCTTCCCATTCAACTCCCTTTAATGTTGAGTACTCTTTGATGTCCTCCTAAATTAATCCATCAAGACATTCACACCTTCTTTTCAGATACATATAATATAATATATAATAACTGCATACCTTCATCTTTACAACTTCCGGAGAGACAAAGTAGATCTTGACATCATTGTATTTGGCTAAAAGATATGCAAGAGAGCGAACTGTTCGCCCATTTGCAAGATCCCCAACAAGTGCGACTTTGATTCCATCCAGCTTTCCTATCTCTCTTTCAATGGTGTACACATCAAGAAGAGCCTGAGAAGGATGCTGACCTGGACCATCCCCAGAATGTTAGCTGTCATCGCTGCTCTTCTGGCAGCACCACTTTCAAAATGACTCATTACAATTATATCCGAATACCCTTCCATAGTTCTAATAGAATCTGAATAAAAACTAATAAATAAACTCAGAATGAGAGAAAGAAGATGAAAGAAGGCACTACCTTAAAGTGTTTCTCCCTTTGCAGCAGAAGAGAATACGCGTGCATTTTATGTTGTTAAAACTTCGCCACCTATACGCTTCATTGCTGACTCAAATGAAAGCATGGTTCTTGTTGAAGGCTCGTAAAAGAGAGTAGCTATGCTAAAAGGGTTTAAGTTTAAGCTTGGAACGAGATTCAAGTAAGCCAAATTCAAGATTCGTGAAATTCTAGGGCACACGAGGCTACATGTCGCCTGAATTTTAGTCTACCGGAGTTCCGACACATAAGTCCAACTTTTACGCTTTTGGAGTTGTACTTCTTGAGATATTTTTCAGGCGAAGAAGGCAAGTGAGGAACGAAGGAAGGAGTGTCGATAACTAGGCAAGGCGGCAGTCGAATCTATGGAGGGGGAATAAAGGATCGTAATTAGGGCAAGAAGGAAACAAAAGTGGAGGATAAAAAAGAAGGCGGGTGTTCAAAATTTTAGGGTTTTCATTCTCCCCCTATCTACTAAACGCGCTTTTCATTAAAATTATAATGCGACACTCATAGAACGCCCATTTAAGATACAACGCCCTCCGTGTTTTTAATTTTTTCTCGTATGACATTATTTTAAGGGCACACAATAATGCGTGACCTAAATCCTTAAATTTTTTGAAGAGATGACACTTTTTTAACGTCACTCTCCTTTACGTAACATAAATCAATGAGTGTCGTGGTTTGCGCATCGTAAAAAGCTATTTTTCTTGTAGTGCTACATGAAGCGGGATGGAGCATGGTATGTGGAGCAGTGCTTGACTTGCAGGGAAGTCAAGGCCAAGCATCAGCGACCTCACGTCAAGATGCAGTCGTTAGAGATTCTCGTATGGAGATAGGAAGACATCATTATGGATTTTATCATGAAGCTTCCTAAGACTGCGTGCGGAGTGGATTCTGTCTGGGTCATCGTGTATCTATTGACCAAAATTGTGCATTTCATTCCAAGTCAAGAGGGCATTTCTGCAGAAAATTTAGTCGAGATTTATATTCGGGAGGTGGTGGAACGTCATGGGGTGCCGATATTAGTGGTTTTAGATAGAGATGTTTATTTTTATTTCCATATTTTTGAAGGGGTTTCATGACGAGATGGACACTCGCCTCCATTTCAATAGAACATTTCATCCGTAGAACATGGTCATAGTGAGAAGACTATTCAAACTCTTCAGGATATGTTGTATGCATGCGTGTTGGATTTTGGTGGGAGTTAGGATACATATCTTTCGTTAGTGGATTTTTCAAATAACAATTGTTATTACTATAGCATCGATTAACCACCTTTTAAGATGCTCTATGGGGGGAAATGTAGGACCCCGATTTGTTGGGGAGAGGTCAGTCAGCGAGTTATAGGGAGTACTGAGGTGGTACTCAAGACTACTGAGCTGATTTAACAGGTTCGGAGCAGGCTCCAGACAACTCAGACTCGGTAGAAGAACTATGTCGATAGACGTCATTCAGACTTGGAGTTCCAGGTGGGAGATATGATTCTATTGAAAGTGTCACCTTAGAAAGTTGTCACCGGGTTCTGGAAGCAGGGCAAGCTGGGCCCCAGGTATATTGGTCCCTTTAGGGTTTCGGCTTGGGTGGATCATGTTGCGTATCGTCTAGATCTTCCAGCCCAGCTCAACCATACTCATAGCACATTTCATGTCTCTCAGTTGCGGAAATGTTTAGTGGAAGATTCCGCAGTTGTACCTTTAGAGGATATTCAGGTGGATGACTGCCTGCATTATATTGAGAGACCGGTGACAATTTTTAGATCGGAGGATGAAAACCTTAAGGAACAAGGTTGTGGAGCTAGTGAAGGTGCAGTGGCTGCGCTATAAGGGGTCAGAGTGGACTTGGGAGCTGGAGGATGAGGGAGCACTACCTGGAGTTGTTTGAGTTGACGGATTTCGAGAATGAAGTCTAATTCAAGTGGGGGAGAATTGTAACGCTTGATTTCCTTGTATGAATTTATTTCCAAGTTCTTCATGTTTTCTCTTTGGGACACGATGTGTTGGAGCCTTAACATGTCCTGTCAAGATGTCATTGGACGTGGCGTTTAATAAGCCCACACGGCGTGTTGAGGTGCCTCAACATGGCGTGCTGGCATTTGGGATGGAAACCCTAACTCTTAGGGTGTTGTACCCTATTTAAAGGAATTAAGTCCCCTTGATCGTCCTCCTTACCAACCTCCTTTGTTAACAACTACCCTAAATCAAGTTTTGAGCTTTATTGGTGGTGATCTTGAAGTTTTGAGTGGATTTTATGGATTTTTGTGCTCATTTGAAGGAGCTCTGGAGTTTGAAGGTGCCTTGCTTGGAAGGAAGGCTATAGATCCAAAATCTCATCACTTTTTGTAGTCTCTTCGAGGTATCAAGTTCATACCTTGATTTATTCTTGATTAGGTCTTCTCTTATGGGGTTTTGTTATGATTTTTGGCTTATTGTTGGTTTGTCTAAGGAGTTAAGTTGTTTCATGGGTTTTCTGTTAGATCTGATCATTTTGTGGCTTCCTTTGGATTAAAGGTGCAAGCTTTATAACATCATAGGTTCCATGCATGCATTATGTCCTTTTTTAAGCCCTTCTTGAGCTTTAGAGCTTCCCTTTGGCATGCATGAATGTAAAGTTGGAAACTTTACGTGGTCTTCTAGCTCTAGGCTGTTAGATTTGCATTTTGGGGCTATGTCTTTGAAGATTAAGTGCTCAATGGTTAATCCCTCACTCTATTAATCATAGGGTTTGGGTTTTGGACCCATTGTGGGGGTTCCTAAGGGTAAATTTGGAAACTTTACCCTTCTAGATAGCATTTTGGTCGAGATCTGAGCTTTGGAGCCCTTAGATCTGATGAAGGAAGCTTAATGTATTAAGTTATTGGATTTCAGGCAAACACGAGGTGTTTATTGGTAAACACAGCGTGCTGGCTTGGTTTTACCCGAATCTGTATATGATGGAGAAACATGGTGTGTTGGGTCAACATGGACCATTGACCTTGACTTTTGACTTTTTTCTTTGACCAAGATTGACCTATAGGGGGTGTTGAGGTATTCTGAGTTGTATCTAAGGAATTGTTTCTGTTTAGGGGTTAGGTAGAGCTGATATTTGGACCCAGGACCTATTCAACTATTGTTAAGCATTCGAGGTGAGTTTTCCTCACCGAGGTTTAGCGGGTCTAAGGCACCAAGGCCGACCCTTGATGATTATGCTGATATACTTGTTGTCTGTGTGATACTTGTATGCGTTCGTATATGTATGCTTTTTGGGCGGCGCTCGTATTGCGAGTGTAGGCGGGGTCCATATTGCGAGTGTGGGCGGGGCCAGTATCTCATTTGGCGGGGACCGTTATGCTAGTGTGGGTGGGGCCCGTATATCTGTGGGTAGGGACCGTTATGTGAAATGTTTGGTATGCGATATTGTGACAATCGTCAATCTTGAGTCAAGTCAAGTCATCAGGTCAAGCCGGTCAACTCGATTAAACCTTGTGTATTAGGGTTTGTGTTATGTTCGTACTGTATAACTTGCTATATTAATGGGAAAACATCACTTGAGAAAAGTCTCGTGTTAAAAATTTCCTAAGCCCTAGTGCTAATCAATGAACTAAACTGATAAAAACCATGTTGCATACTCATTGGGAGTGTGTGGGATCCTTAACCATGACTTAACGGGGCTCAAGAGACTTGCATTGCGGAGCCAAACACTCACAAATGCCACACTTGAAATCTCTCTCAAATATCTCTCTGTATAAGAAATCTCTCCAAGAATGTCAAATCTCTCCCAAATCTCTCCAAGTATGTGAAATCTCTCTCAAATATCTCTTTGTATGAGAAATCTCTCCAAGAATGTCAAATCTCTCCCAAATCTCTCCAAGTATGCGAAATCTCTCTCAAATATCTCTTTGTATGAGAAATCTCTCCAAGAATGTCAAATCTCTCCCAAATCTCTCCAAGTATGAGAAATCTCTCCCAAATCTCCCTCAAATAGTTCCCGTAACTTTTTAGAATCATTTGGGTCATTCCGGCCCTTAACCGGGTCAAACACGGCTTAAAACGGGGCGAAAACGAGAAAAATAGGCTTTAGGAACCGAAACCAAGAAGAGAGGCTTCTTAGGCGAGGACCGAGCCTCTGTTGGCTGTGGCATGCGAGGACCGAGCCTCTGTTGGCTAAAGAATGCGAGGACCGAGCCTCTGTTAGCTGTGGCATGCGAGGACTGAGCCTCTGTTGGCTAAAGAATGCGAGGACCGAGCCTCTGTTGGCTAAATGCACGCGAGGACCGAGCCTCGGTTCTCTGTCGCCTCATCTGCTCCCTTCTTCTCGCTCTGTCTCTACCCGCCTCTCTGTCTCTTCCCTACTCTCGGTCTCTACTCCGCCCCTCTGTCTCTTCGCGCCCTCTGTTCTCTCCTCCCCCCTCTCGGTTCCTTCCCTCTCTCTTCTCCCCTCTCGGTTTCTACCCTCCCTCCTCTCGATTTCAGCATCAGAAGGCCGAACCTCGGCCAGACTTCGGGAATTTGTCACTTTTAGCCCATTTTTGATATTTTTAACATTTTAAGCCCGTTTTTCGTGATTTTAAAGCGGGATTTTCTCCAGAAATTATATTTTAACATAATAAACTCTAAATATTCATAATTTAAACATATTTTTATGAAAATCATTATCTAAATAATAAAGATCTAATGGGGGATTTATTTAAGGTGGAGTGTTGACTTTGCCTTAACTTATGACACAAGCAACCACCCCACACCCACTCTATGACCAGCCATACCTCCCCACCTTACCTATGTCACTTCAATGTCCCCTTACACTCAAATTTCACTCACCCCCACGTTTTTTTTGAGCTGGAACAAACAACCACACTCCTCATTTTCTCTCATTTCTCTCATTCCACTAAGTAACAAACACCACTTTTCTCTCAAACTTTTTCTACACAAATTTTCGAGATTCAAGGCTGATTTCAAGTGTTCTTCCACTCTTAGTAAGTAAAAATTCATCCTCCCTATTATTATTTCACTTCCTTCTACTCAAATCTTTGATTGCTTACACAAACTCCATAACCATAATGTTAGATTCTCGAAAACCTTCAAGGCATCTCCAAGTGTTCTTGAATTAAACACTTCCATTCTTCAACAATCATCTACTGAAATCACTTAAGGTGAGTTCATACCCCTACATTTTCATGTTTTCT